TAAAAATTGACTGTGTGGCATTTAGAATTTTGGCTCGATAATTGGAGTTTTCTAAAACAGTTTTCAAGCAATTTTTTAACCAAATAAATTATTTCAATATGCTCCTGATTATTGAAAATAAGCTTAAAATGTATTAAAGAATTTGAACTTTTCACCCTATTTGGAATTATTTTTTAATCAACCTTTATTGTCTCGTACAATTTTCAATATTTTCAAAGATTGTTGGCCTATAATATATAAATATGATGATAGCCATTTTAAAAACTAGTACATTTAGACATATATTTTCTAGATTCGTCACAGTAATATGATGTAACATATCTCCTCTATCAGACTATATTGACCATATAAATTTGTAGCATAGTTTTACTAAGAAATTATTCTACATAGACTTATATCTACTATACTTTCCCAGCTCGGCCTTCTGATCATAAATTGAAACTTATACGTGGACACTCTGGTGTCTGGTGTCAAAAAAAGTTTTCATGAACAGAAACGGAGACTGCAGTGGCAGTATATTGTAATTGTATATAGTATTTTAAGTAGTTCATTTCGATAAATCTTCTCGCTGATTTGTGTCGATTGAAAGTCGTAAAATTCGATGCACAGTCGGTATACACATACGTATAGTCCACTTGTGCGAAATACACTCGAAGTCATATCTTGATTGCCTTAACTTCTCTCGTGAACGTGAAAAGTTTGTCTGCTCCACACAGAGAAAGCGTATGACAAAGGGCACGACAGGAGGCAATAAAAGAGATACCGACTTCCGAGCATAAAACAACAAAAGCCCGAAAATGAATGAGCAGCACACGGCACAGGTGGCGATGGTGTTGGTGGTATAATGCCCGAGGATTGAGGCCGGATAGGAGGCCAGCTATTGGCCGGCTGTCTGTCTGGAATTAATCCCAGGCGTGCATTTTTTACCGCCCGCCCTGCCCAGCCCAGCCTTACACCTGTGTGAGAGGACTTTGTGGCGGTGGATTTGAAGTGCGTCGGGATTTTAATTGAACAACTATACGAATGTCAGACGGATTTTGTGCGTACCTGCTCACTGCCTGTTTCGCTGTATCCTGTCCAGCTCCTTGCTATCCCGGCGGATGGGGCTAACGCTTAGGTAAAGACCCGCCAGGCTTAAGGATTGCGGCTGCAGCTGCGGAATTTACTGCTCACCTGCTTGAAAGGGGTTCCGTTAAGTGTGCGTGGCGAAATCCTTGAGACTTGCGTTTTGAGCCTTTCCTTGCATATGTCTCCCTCCCTCTAAAATACAAAATATATAGAAAATCTTTGCTATATTTTTGTAAAATTATTGTGTAGTATCTATCCTACTGTTAGGTTGAGGCAATTGAAACTGTTTGTGAACTGACTGTGGAATTTGTCAAAGCCTGCCTAAGCTCTCGTTTACATATATGCATATGATAGGGCGATAGGATAACAAAAAAAGAAAAAAGAAAGCTTATAAACTCATAACCATAGTTTGTCACTTGATTTGCCACCTTTTATGCATGTATGCGCATTCCTTTGGGCATTCTTATACCCTGTACCCATTGAAAATGTTCAAAAGAAAGATGGACGAATTTATGACCTTGCTTCCTTATATATGTTCTGAAAAGACCAAAGGACCTGCTGTGCAGATAAACGTCTTAATGAAACTGTGGACCTCAGAGATATTAAAAGATAGAAACTTAACGCTACATGGTTGTCTTTTATATTTGTTCAAAAATCGATTAATATTGGGTAGCTTTGATAAGTATTGATTTCTTTAAGAAATATGCGTTCAAGATATATCGAACTTCGAGAAAAATCGAGTTCCTTGAAAAATGTCGATTGGGTTGTCAAATATAAATTTCTTCGAGAAGCATCAATATCTTCGAGAAATACTGATTTCGAACTCCCAACTATCGGACTCTATTATTCTCGATAAGAGTGTTCAAAGTACGAAAAGAAGAAAGAACGTATGTTGCATCCGAATTCTGTTTGTAGGGTATTTTAATATCGGGCACCCTTGAGTAGAGCACTTCTTACTTGTTCCTTTATTGTCTTTGCCTGTGTTTTCTGTATATGTGTGTTTGTGTGAGGCACTTATCACACTTATCTTCCGCTCAGTGCCCCAATTCGTCGCCTGTTAGTGCATGACATTTCTGGCATATGCCAGTGACAGCGCATGGAATGGAATGCAAAGCGCAAATGGATGTGGAGATGGCTATGGCTGTGACGATAGCTATGGCTTGTGGTCTGGGTGGGGCTGCTGTACCTCAGTTTGTTTCTCATCTTGCCACTGACATGCAATATTTATTATGTAAATATTGGTGAACAAATCCTGTTAGCCCGTTAGACTGATTGCCTTGACCAGGATTTGCCTTTGTAATTGAAGGTCTGCTTTGCTTCGTTATATCAGACATATGCAATGAGTGCCCAAAGCGCAAATGCATGATTGGGGATTCAAAAGCGTACTTTTGTGAAGTCTTTCAAAATGGGTATGCATAGCACAATAAGAGTAGTTTTGCTTATTTACTCATTACTTACTGAGTCCAAAATTATTCATTATACGTACACTCATTTATAAGAATAGCTTAGCGTGCCTTCTAATAAGTGTTTGAGTATTGTTGAGTTTCTACAAAGTGTATAAGTTGTACGAGTCATATGCAAAACAATATTTCTTTTTTTGGACTCCATCTATTCGAACTGCTCACTCAATTAAACGTAATCAATTAATTGACTCAATCAATTTATAGTACTTCAAAGTAGAAAGCTTGTTAAGAAATACTCAAATTTGTCTGCTGGCTGCTCTCTGACTAAAAACCCAACTCCTTGAAGTATAAGTAGTTTAGTTATATTTTTAGTCGTTCATTCGGGCATTCCTCGCAAACTGGCGCAAGCTCAGCCAAATGAGTAGTTACGAGTACTACGCAAACAAGTACTCGCTTCCAAACAGCTAGTTATCTATGAATTTCGGCTTCGGCGCTTCTATGACTTACAAATCCTTGCATTACAGCATCCTGCACTTAATGTGCCACCGACTTTTTATGATAGCTCGGCAAGCTCAGTAAACTGTTATTACCTCGGCTCGGGGCATAGTTCAAATTAGCGTTCATTAATTAGTCGCCCTGCAGATTGACGTTTAAAGTAATGCGACATGTCCCTGGGGCAATTAGTTCGCGTCTCCTGCTTCATAGATGGAGCGGACGAGGATGGGGGTGGGGGCGCTATTGGAAGGTGGAAGGGTGGGCGTGGCTCATTCATTACATTTTTGCTGTAGATAATTATCGCAGATTTTGGCGCTCAAGTGTCAAAGTTTTTCGGAGGCGTCTTTCAAGTCGGAGCTCCATTAAATTACGAAATACAATATTTTGGCTCCATCAGGCTCTCCTTGCCCTCCCTCTCTCTCTCTCCCTCTATCCCGCTCTCTGTAATAGATCATTTGCTGCATCATTACGAATACGCCGTGTGTGTCGTCGGCTAATCCTTTGCCAGCCTTTAGGCGCCTAAAGATTTTTCCATGTTGTCACGTCCCACAAATCGTACTGGCATTTTTCTTAGCAGGCACGCACTCACCGCCCACATATATCACTGTCTGCTTTTGTTAGCCCCGCCCCCGCGTTACCCCGTTCAGCCCGCAGATATGGCCACAGTAAATGTGGGCCACCGCGAAGCGGATGAAGCGTTGCTCCGGTTGCTGCCATTGCCGCCAGCAAATCAGTGTCCTCGCTTTGCCGTTTGGCATGCTGGCATTTTATTTCACTTGCTTTTAGCAGCAATGTTTCTTCTCTTTTTTATTCCACCGTTCCCCCCCTAACCCACCTATTGACGCGCTGTGCTGCTCGGCGTGTGTCCTCGGCAACCGTGTTGCGGTCCATCTCTCGAGACGCCGCCTTCATAGTTGGGCACTATAATTCTATTATGGCTGTAAAGCAATTTTATTTCTGGCTGTTTGTTGGCCCGCGCCTCGTTTAGCTTTCATTTTCACATCTGCGCTGCCATTTTCATTTTCATTTCGCATTTTTACGCTTTGTGCCCGGCTTTGCCCTGTTCCACCCCACACCCTCAATCTAACCTAAAGCAACCCATCCCTAACCATTAACCAGCGTAGCTGTCATCATCAAATTACGCTCAGCTTTTGTCTCGCAGTTTTGTTTTAATGCGAAAGCACAAAAGCAGCTACTGCGTTGCTTCTGCATTTATTTATGCCGCTGTTGTTCTTGTTTTTATTGTGCTGATTATTGTTCCTATACCCTGTTCGCTTTAAAAATCCGCTGACACAAGGAGGAACTTAAAGTTGGGCTCTAATATTAACAGATTTAGGGGCATTAAATGTAGCATTATATGTAAAACTGAATTTTATTCCGATTAATCGATAACACACAGAGTTTCACCACATCGATTAATATCCAATTTTTTCAAAGATAAATCGTAGATTTTTAAAAATTGGTTCAAATAGCCTTTTTGTACTCGAAAAACAGGTCAGCAATGATTGGGTGATTCAGTTATGGTTACAGGGTATCTTACAGTCGAGCAGTTTTGTTCTGATTTGTAATAATACTATTGTCTGCTTTTATCTATTATAATACCTTATAGTCTTGATTAAAATAGCCTTAGAACAGTATGTGAAACCATCGATAGTATCGATTGTATTGCTTATCGACTATCGAAATATCTACAGCTTGCTGGATAGAGCTCTTATTCATCAATGAGTAATATTAATTCATTTACTCAACGCTCATATTCACAGTACCTTTAAAGTTCAAACCTGGTTACAGGGCATTTTCAAGTCGAGCATTCCTAAGCTTGCTATTATTATCAGTTTATTAGTAGGCAAGTTAATTTGGATTCGCCCAACCCCTTTAGTTATCTCTCTGTAACTATCTTTAACTGATAGCGTTCGCTCAGATCTCTTGGTTTCGCACATTTGCACACGCTCTTCATGGCGCTCTCTTTCGCCCGTTCTCTTGGCAAATCACACATACGCCGCGTCGATCGGCCAATGAATTTGGCAGTCAACAGCCGGCAGTCGTTGTCGAGACGCATGCGAAAGCAATACGAGTCGGATAGCTAATAGATAGATACACTCGTGCATGGCTGCCTGAATGGGACATCCAGCTGTTAATTGGGATTTAATATCGAACGATACGTTGATTACAGACAGCAGCTGACATGGTCGATACAATCGATGATCGGGAACGAGATGCGATCGTCAGCATTCTGAAAAGTGAGGTGCACGCGCTGAAGGAGCAGCTGCGCGAAAAGGAGAACGAGCTGATCAAATTGCATCGGGAAATACACAAGTTGAAGGTGAGAGACGATGGTGCGAAAGCCGGCCAGGAAACTTAATAGAACGAACAAGGGAAAAGACTGAGACACGACGTATTATTAGAGAACTATGGAATTAATCAGATAGAAAGGTCGAATCACTGGAGAACTAGGGCACTCGGATTCGGGAATTAAACTAGCTGGAAAAGTTAGCGCGGCATAAAATCGCTAGGGTACTACTACTACGGAACTAGCTGAGGGATATATTAAACTAGGGAAAAAAAAGCTGTAGATGCGAGTATGACAGACAGAACTACTAGAAAACTATGAAAGAACTAAAAAGGATCTTAAAGGGAACTACTTGGGAGCTACTAGTGAATCACTAAGGAGCTACTAAAGAACAAACAGGCAACTAATAAAGAACTGATTGAACACTAAGTGGCAGCTAGAGAGGTTCTAACAGAGAATTTGAGGGAATAATAGGGGAGCGCTTAGAAGGGAATTTAGAAATAACTATATTTAATTCTAGGAAATGAAAACAGAATTACTAGGAAATAACTAGACAAATAGTTAAAAATATGCGACTTGTTGAAGCAATCAATTCGTTAACAACAAATTAGACATTAGGAAATACATAAACACACGATGAGAACTGGGTAACCAGGGAACTAATACTAAACTACTAGGAAACCAATACGGCCCGCAAAGGCAGCATTAGTATTAGGGATTGACTTGATAGATAAGAGCTATTTTCAGCAAAGTGTAAATAAGCGGAAAATATAATAAGCTTGCATTGAGTTAGCGGCGAGAAGCACTTTTCGAACTAATAGAAAACTTGAATGAATCAACCAACGAACGAGACTTTGGCAACAACTACAGGATAAAGAAATCAGGGCAATAAAAATTGAACTCATAAAGTTGCAGCGACAAAAGCTAAAAGCGAAGAACCACTTACAAAGAATATATAGAAAGCTATTCAGAAAACTACTTGGGTTGGCCAACTGGCTGGAGAACTACTTCAGTCTAGGTCACCTGGAGAAGCGCTGCCCTTTCCAAAAGGGGGCAGATGTCCCCAGTCATTGTGCATCGTTTGTTTGTTTTGTTTGCCGTTTGTATTGTTTGTTTATTGTTGTCGCGCCGCAGATAACGGCACGGTAACACCAGCAGCAACAATTGTTTTTTTTTCTCTCTTGTTTTCGACTAATTTGTATACGCTTTGTGGCGTACAGATACAGAAAAGTATCTGAAAGTGTGCTCGCACACTCTCATATCATCAATTGCGTCGCCAGTCGTTATCTCAAGCACGGCAGCAGCCGCAGCTAAGCACCAGATATTAGATACTATCTAATAGACAGCAGACAACATTAGATATTATGTAGATACCCCTGCCCTATGGCCTTGCAACAGTCCGGTGATATCTAGTCTAGCAGCTTGTGGCTATCATTCAGTTGGGTTCTATTCTGGGTACGAGAGAGAATAGACTCTCGACTGCGCTGGGTATTACAATTCATAAGTAAAATATGTAACGTCTTGAAGTAGAGAATTATAGGCCAATGAGGTATACAAATGTATGGCTGCTCAGTACTCACAACTATGTAAATTTAGTACCTCAATTTTGAGGCTATTTTTTAGAGTTTTAGGACTCTATATATATATATTTATTTATTCGTCACGCTCTGACTTCGTTAGTCTTTAAACGTCGGACTGACAAGCGAGAGGTCGCCGGTTCAAATCAAGCAAATATGGTTTTCTCTATATATTTGGGTTGTTAGCTATTCAAAGTAAACAAAACAATAATAATGATAACTAAATAATAAGTAGTTAAAGTTATTCTTTTGTTCTGGTTGTTTTGTCAACTATTCTTTCTATTGAGATGGGCGAAGTGTCGCGACATTATGCACAAAGTTGGGGGTTCAACCAGCTCAAAAAAAGTAAACATTTTTTATTACTTATATTCGTTTGACGAGGACAAGAACACGTAATTTCTTCGAGTCTCAGATTTGTTTAAGTTTAATTAATGAAAATTGACTCTGACGAAAGGGTATTTCTACTTCGGCCTCACTAAAATGGCGGTTCCTTCTTGTTAATTTTGTACTTGAACAGCATTTGGCATTGCTCATCGTAGCTGCCGGCTTGTGTTAGTGTGCGTGTGTATTTGAATTGTAAAGCGTTTTATTGAGCTAAGCGATTAGCACTTCTTCGTGAGATTTCCATGCCGCCGTCGCGCAAAGAGCAAAAGTTGCGCGCTTAGCTCGCAGAGAGACCACAGTCGGATACAGATACAGATACAGAGATACAGCTGGAGATGAAGATACAGATACAGATATATTTGTGGGATTTGCTGCTGTGTGCTGCTAATTGCCGGATCACCATCGGCTTTAGCTTTGACTGCGTATGCGAGTCCGACTTCAGCTGGAAGTCGCGTCGTGCGTTTACCTCCCTCCCCCCGCAGTCGGCCCTCTCTCATTCGCCGAGCTGTCTGTTTGTTTGGTGTAAATAAATACCATGCTATATTCCATAATTTCGACGGACGCCAGCACGCGCACTCCAGAAGAGAATAAAGCAAATGCCACAAAAATGAACAAAATAATAAAATATAAAAATAGTTCAAATGCACTGGACAAGCGTGCGCGACTATAAGATGCCCTGTAAGCAGCCGATCAGGGTCGCATACCCATTGGAACAATTTGTGAATATTCTCGTGACGACTTAGGTCGGTTTTCGAACTCGGATCTTCGTTGTTAAGGAGACAATCAATTATAAGAAGACGCGGCTTAAGCAATATACCTCTTGTTCCCTATTATTTCGAGGGTATACAGACAATTTTTGAATTGCTAATTTTTATGTAAATAATTTGTAGAACAGAAATGTGTGTGTTTAGCCAAGGGAATGCCGGGGTGTCGCGACTTTTGGCTTATCTAGTTTTTCGGCTATATATATACGAGCCGTGTTCAGATTTTGGCAGTCTTATCTTTACGCCTTTTTTCGTTTTGGTGTCAATTTTTGCATGCTATTTACGCGCCGTGTAAGATAAGATGACGCACAAAATAACGGTTGGCCCAATTTAGGCGAAGGTCGTACCCCGCCCTCCCCACTTGATGGCATGGGCAGGGTCATTGGCTGTTGGCTGGAAATTGAGTCTCAGCTGCATCACATGTGTCGCTAATTGAACGCTCAATTGGCTGTCGAATTGATTAATCGACGCCTTTCAATTGTCATTCCGTTTGATTCCATGCAGAGTGTGCTGCAGCAAACCACCAACAATCATGTGAGCTTGTCCAGCCAGCATCAACAGCCACCGGAACAGTGTGACGTGGTCAGCAGCAGTCGAGAGCAGGAGCATGTATGCAGCGCCTGCGGTCTGGCGAGACCGGTCGCCAGCACAGAGCTCGAACCGCAGGCGCTAAGCCAGGACTCAGCAACAGCAGCAACAACAGGAACACCAACAACAGCAGCGGGAAATGCATTACAAACGGATGTGGCGGCGTCTGTGGAGCTGCGTCCAAAGCCGCTGCTGGCGGCTATAAAAAAACAGGGTGTATCCGCTGAAAGCTCTGTGCAGTCCAAACAGCAATCCTACAGCGCAACCATACCTAAATATGACAAGGATTTCAGGTGAGCCGACCTTTAGTCAACTACTGAGGGCTGTAGCCATGGATCAGCACAGGTTTAGGTTAAGGTTCAAGTCCGCCCAACAGGTACCCGAAAAAAACATTAAATTAGGTAAGGGCAGTCGAACTCGACTCACTTAGAAGCTGCCGGAGTACAAAGGAAAAATATATGAAGGACTTGGCTTCACACGGCTGAAGTCTAAATGCCATTGGGACTTTGCCTGACGTCCAAAAGGAAATAGTTTCACGAAAAGGACGTCTAGTTATGCATAGAGCCGGACAGGTGGCAAAGAGCTTTGATGCCGTCTTAATAAGCCGCAGGAGTCCAGCGACATGGTTGCAATGTCTAATAATGTCTCAGACTAATTGCCGACACGTTACGTTCAATAAAAACCTTCACCTCTTGCAGCGCCAAGCAGCAGATCAAGGATGCCATCATGGATAATGATTTTCTGAAGAATATTGATGCCTCACAGGTGCGCGAACTGGTGGACTCGATGTACTCGAAGAGCATTGATGCGGGCGAGTTTGTCATTCGTGAGGGTGAGGTGGGCGCTCATCTATATGTATCCGCGGCGGGTGAATTTGCTGTCATGCAGCAGGGCAAAGTGCTGGACAAGATGGGGCCGGGCAAGGCGTTCGGTGAGCTGGCCATACTCTACAATTGCACACGCACCGCCTCCATACGGGTGGTGAGCGAGGCGGCGCGTGTCTGGGTGCTGGATCGGCGCGTCTTTCAGCAGATTATGATGCGCACCGGACTGCAGCGCATTGAGAATAGCGTGAATTTCCTGAAGTCGGTGCCGCTTTTGCGTAATCTCAGCGACCAACTGCTGGCCAAGATAGCCGATGTTCTGGAATTGGAGTTCTATGCAGCGGGCACTTATATCATACGCCAGGGCACTGCGGGCGACAGCTTCTTTCTCATCTCGCAGGGCAATGTTCGGGTTACGCAGAAGTTGACGCCCGCTGCGCTGGAGGAAACAGAGCTGCGCACCTTAAGCCGCGGGGATTACTTTGGAGAACAGGCGCTCATCAATGAGGATAAGCGTACGGCGAATATCATAGCCCTGGCGCCGGGCGTGGAGTGTCTCAGCTTGGATAGGGATTCGTTTAAGCGCCTAATTGGGGATCTGTGCGAGCTCAAGGAGAAGGACTACGGAGACGAGGATCGCATGCTGGCCATGAAACAGGCTCAGGCTCAACATGAGGAGGCATTTGGTGCGCAGGCGCAACAGGAGTATCCGGATCTAAAGCTAACTGACCTGGAGGTGGTCAGCACGCTGGGCATTGGAGGTTTTGGACGTGTCGAGCTGGTGAAGGCGCATCATCAGGGCCGTGAGGATATATTCGCGCTGAAATGCCTGAAGAAGCGGCACATTGTGGACACCAAGCAGGAGGATCACATCTATAGCGAGCGCAGTATTATGCTCAGCTCCAATTCCCCCTTCATCTGTCGTCTCTATCGCACCTTCCGGGACGAGAAATATGTGTATATGCTGCTGGAGGCATGCATGGGCGGCGAAATCTGGACCATGCTGCGCGATCACGGCTCCTTTGAGGATAATGCGGCACAGTTTATCATTGGCTGCGTTTTGCAAGCCTTTGAGTATCTGCACGCACGTGGCATACTCTATCGGGATCTGAAGCCCGAGAATCTGATGCTGGATGAGCGCGGTTATGTGAAGCTGGTGGATTTTGGCTTTGCCAAGTATATTGGCAATAGCGCCAAAACGTGGACGTTCTGTGGCACACCGGAGTATGTGGCGCCGGAAATCATACTGAACAAGGGACACGATCGCGCCGTGGACTATTGGGCACTGGGCATACTCATTCACGAACTGCTCAATGGCGCGTAAGTCTGGCAGGGAAAGTGCCATTGAGCTACCTATTCCAGTTAATAGATCCTTTATTATTTCCCCAACAGTCCACCCTTTACCGCTCCCGATCCCATGCAGACGTACAATCTCATCCTTAGAGGCATTGATATGATCACCTTTCCCAAGCACATCTCACGCTGGGCCGTGCAGCTAATTAAGCGCTTGTGTCGGGATGTACCCTCCGAGCGTCTGGGCTATCAAACTGGCGGCATACAGGACATCAAGAAGCACAAGTGAGTGTGGATCTACATCCAGCTGGGCTTCGTATTTACTTTGCTGCTACTGTTTAGATGGTTTCTGGGCTTCGATTGGGATGGCCTTGCCAGTCAGCTGCTGATACCGCCCTTTGTGCGACCCATCGCTCATCCCACGGACGTGCGTTACTTTGATCGTTTTCCCTGTGATCCCAGCGAGCCGCCGGATGAGCTCTCCGGCTGGGATGCGGACTTTTAGCTTTATAGTGAACAGAGATGCGGTTGATATTGTGAAAATACATGCGACAGGAGGCAGTTGCGACTCCATAAAGTATACAGATTCCGGATCAGGACAACGAGCTCAGGTTTTTTTTTAGACATGCCTGTCTGTTCGCCCGTCGTTAACAGCTAGTGTTACGAGATCTGTGTAGTCCAGTTTTTTTCAGATATTTGATAACTCGCCTTGCATATCGATAAATGTCGAGTAAAGGTCTATGTATTCTGAGCATATATCGGTTGTTATGAGAGCTAGACTCGCAAAAATTGGTATTTAGGCTCTACTATAATAAAAACAGATTAGAATATCTTCACTCTTGATAACTTGCCTTACTTATCCTATGTAGACATAGGTCATCAAATCTCATCCGATTTTCAGAAGAATTGGGTTTTTGTTAATAGTTCGACGTCGACATCAAGTTTGCATCTTAATGTGGCAACATTATTCTTGTTCAATATTCATAGGAAAATGGTGCCCTCAAATAGACAAGGGTCTAAATTTAACTTTATTTATTTGACTTTGGACTTATTGCAATAACTAGATTTGAATAGGTGAAATTTATGTGAGCTCCTTTAAAGAGGCCGGAGTGAGTTGTCGTCGCTGTATTTAATGCGGCTCTCGTCGATGGATTTGCTGGCAGCCAGTAGTTGGCACATCCGCATGCAGCGCTGGATCATTGGATCGTAGATGGCATTGCAGCCAGGCGTTGGCTCAGCCACCAGCTTCAGATTGTCCGGAGTGCGTTGGAAAAACTCAGCGTAGCTGAGTTGCGGCTGCCTGCCACGGCGTATTTTACATCTGCGGCAATTGCAGTTGACCTCACGATACTGATAGAAGGCATAGCGAGCACGATAGGCAGCACCTAGAACGCTCGCCTCCGACGTTTCCTCCAGCCGGTAGACGGATGCATTGAAGATATCGGCAACTATTTGCAATATGCTATCATTCCTGGAGCAATCGTTCGTGACAATGATTTTGGTCTCCGGACAGAAGCTCACGCCCATGCTGGCGGCAACGCCACGATGATGCAACAACTGACCCTCGATGACGGCGCGAGCCTCAAATCTGGGCTCTGGGAATCGCTCGCGTCCGTGCAGCGCCTCCTCCGATAGCTCGTTAATGTTGTTATCCCAGCGCAGTGAGCCACACGCCTCCGGTATATACTCCATCTCATCGAAATGTATGGCAATGTGGCCCGCATTGCCTTTGGGCGTGGCGGCTAACATCTCATTGAAGACGGACCACTTGCCTTGGGCCACCTCCTGGCAGATGCGTTCACGCACCGCGCTGCCATTGCGAAAGAAAAATGAGCCCATGTATTCATCGGGCATCGTCGGATGGCACAAGACATTGCCCTCGTGCACTAGGGGCTGATCCTTAAAGTGCATGATGATGCGGTCCGATTTGGACAATGACAAAATCAAAAAACATCTCTGATCCTTCAGGCTGGATAGCATGCTGGCACTGATCAGCGTGGCGGCAACGATCATGCAGTCGGGTCGAAAATTCCAACGATTCACATGGTAATTGGCAATCCGTCCTTGCAGCCGATTTGTGGCAATTGGCTGCATTAGACGTGATTCCAAATTAGGCGCACATGCCTCCAGGCACTCGGGCGACCAGACTTTATTGCCTATATCCAAGAGACACATCTTCGAGCCATCGGTGTAATCAATGGACGCTATGTTTCCAATGAGCAGCGATGCCAGAAAGCTGCTCATTAGCGAAATGCGTACGGTTTGCTCATATTTCTCCGGATAGTCCTCATAGATTTTACGGATTTCGGGGCCCGTCATGCGCACCGAGGCCCTGGAGCCCGTTATTTTTTGTATTTCAATGGAGCCGACTAGATCCTCCATGGCGATGCACTGTTTCTCAAGCGAGTCGTTCATCCAATACAGCGTGGGCAAGGCAAATGCCGTTTCTTTAAGCTGTTCGTGTAGGCGCATTTTTGGATTAAGGCCACAGAGCGCACGAAAACCGGCAAGGGACCAGTATATGGCGCCATGATGATGCGTTCCACAACTAATAGCGGCCACCGAATGCAAATCTGCGCCCCTCGTTGCCAGACAATTGAACAGCATGTCCAGCGCCTTGATATACATGACCGGATTTATTTGATATTCGTTCGGCTCTGAGCCAACATTGACACCATCTATAGTTTTGTACTCGGGCAGATCCACATCGTAGCGCACCACGGCGCTGTATGTTATCTGGAGTTCGGCATTTAGCAGCAACGCCTCAATCTTCTCCCTGTCCATGTGGATGCCCAAGTAAGTGTTGCCACTGTAGTCGTGTACAGGTCTGTGGCACATTACGCTTCACCTATTGGGCCGAATCAAACAAAATGGACTTAACTAGAAAATTTTATATCGAATATACGAACAAAAGGAATTGTGAGGTTGCGCTTGCTTCGATTGTTGCTCTTCACTCTCCTAACCCTCCGTATTGCACATACTTCCTCCTGTTGCCCACGCTTGGATAGGTGAGGCGACGGCGCTTCCTTTGATTCATTTGGGCAATATTATATATATTTTCCTATATTATAAAGCTTTGACACTCTTTATTAAGCTACCTTTTTATTATCTGAAAACTATTTTAGCAGTTTTACAAATCAATATGCCTATTTCTGGTATCTATTGCTTTTTTTGAGTGTACCCATAGAAAGTGTTCCAAGCTCTTCGATTAGTTGTCGAGATAATCTGTTAAGCAATGTTTGATCTGCGCTGTTCCGTGATCTTGAACTGAAGCAGCACAACCAAATAGGTGGCCATAAAGGATATGTTTGTGGTGATTAACTCGCGATTGATGTTCGCAAAGCCATCGAGATTCATGGTGGGCGGATTCTTGCTGATGGCAACCAGCAGCATGTCCACCTCCTTCTGCGTGGCGGTATCAACGGCTGTCAGATTGATGTTGAGCAACTTGGTCTGAAAGTCGAGGCCTACCTTACGCGAGGCAAAGTGCGCCTCATTGCAGAAGATGAACAGCCAGCACATGCAGTAAAACACAATGACAAAGAGACCCACCTCCTTGTAGGTGGCGCCATGATCGATAATTTCGCTGATGCTGCCATAGGCGGCGATGATGCTGGTAAAGAAAATGACCAGACAATACATGCCATACATATTGGAATAGGCGCGACCCAGCTGCTGCATCATATGGCTGAGATCCACCCACAGATGTCGATACTCTGTCAGTTTCTGGGCAGGCTTATCGCCTCGTATCGTCGCCTGTAGTGCATCCGACAAGGCACGACTGGCCGTGCCAAAGGCATTGCAATTCACATACCACAAGCTGCAAAAACAATTCAACATGGCTATAATGGGATAATAGGCGAACGTGTACCATAGGCTAAAGTCCGGCTGTAGAAAATACTGCGAAAGATTTATGGCGATGCTCAGCAGCCAGGAGGAGGTGCACAGCACATAGGTCACCGTATACAGATTTGGGAACACAATCGTTGAGCCTGTCGTCTTGAAGAACTTGTACTGATAGTTGGTCCACATATTTTTAAAGATGGCCACCTGCGGTCCATGACGCCAGCTGGCGATGGGCAGCAGAAAGTTTGTGAAGAGCAGACTGATAAATATGACATTATAGATGGCCTCATCGAAACGCTTGTCCGGACTGGTTATGAATTTTTTCACACGCTCGCGCAGCACCAGCACCACAATTGTCGTCTGGATGGCGTAAATGAACATGGCCCACATGGCCTGCTTGGATGTCCAGGTGTAGCCAGTTCTTGGCATGTTCTTCACCGGTGGATTACGTATCAAAGGCATTACGCCCATGATCTGGAACAGCACCAGCAGACTTTTGGTGGCACGATAGAATGCATCATGTTTGTCCAGCTCGAACGGATCATCCACGGTATCCGGTTTGCGTACATAGCCATCCTCGATGGTTGTGCCGCCCGCCAGCATCTTGAGCTTCTCACGATAGCGCAGCTCATCCTCCAGAAACTGGCGTTGATTGGGATTCAGCATGGGCGCCACCTTGCCCGGTGGCGTTAAACCGCGGCTCACAGCCCAGAAGGACATGACGTGCACAATAGACCGAGCCTGAAGCGGAGCGGCCACAATTCTTGCGTTGCCTTTTATATGGTCGCTTCTGCTATTGACTTTTGATTGAAAAGCAAACAAAAGTGCGAATATGCCGCCCACGGGGCGTGTCGCTATTTGCTTGCTGTCCATTAAATATGACCCGGTATATAGATATATATATATATATATATATATATATATATATATATATATAAATACATCTGTATATGTGCCTGGGGCGGGGTTTGTTGTGGTCATTAGATGAGACGCGACCCTGGCCAGCGCGGTCTGCGCCTGCACTCAAAAAAATTTTCCCCAATATATTGCCATAAAATTAAAATAATTTCTTGAAATAGTTCCTATTTTTTCTCAATTTAAAATATATTCAACATTTTTTTTAACGTCTTGGAAAATATGTGTTACTTCTTAGTAGCATAATTTGTAATTATCTAAATACTTATATCTTCTGCTTAAAACAAAATTAGTTCTATGTATATATTTTTAAAAGCTTTATCTCTTAAGACTTTTTTTGTGCTTTTTTAAAAGCTACGATTTGTTTTAAATATTATTTTTCTAAATTCAAGGGCGATTTTATTAATGTACGTCTGATTTCAGGCTATTTATTTTTTTCTGAGTGTGCCCAGTGCACGTTTTGCTGACAAAGAGCCGAACGGGTACCCAGTCGGGGGGAGGACATGGTGTGAATAATGCCTCGCCTCTGCGACCCTCTGTCTGTGTGTGTGTGTGTGTGTGTTTGTGTTTGGGCCGAGACAGAAGGTACGTAGAATGCGCTTAATTTGCCGGAAATGAAAGTTTAACGATGTGTAAATGCTTACGAATGCCCGATAGAGGCTCGCACTAATGACCAATAAAAATTGTGCCGCCGCTGACCCAATGAATGTAGTTTCGCCCCGTCGTATGACCTTCCTCTCTCTCTCTCTCTTTCTGTCTCTCTGTTTGTTGTGTTCCTGACTTTTGATCCATTTCTGCCTGACTTATCGAAGGCCAAAGTCAACTTCAGGCCTGCTCAAGACTTAAGCTAAAGTGTATTGAAGCAGCAGCAGCAGGAGCAACAAAAGCAGCTAGCTCAGAGTTAACACTGTGCCTGACTCTGGCAGCAACTCAACATACACACCACAACACACCACAACACACACACACACACACTTTGCACACACTCTATGCACAGTCAGCAACATTTGAAATGTGTTTAAAATAGACTTTGCTCAAGTCCAAGCACTTCAAAGGCAGCATTTAATTTTTCGGGCGCCTGGCCA